CAAGTATCGGAATCGGTATCGGAACATCTCTAGCCTCTATCTTATACTGCAACACTTTTCAATTAATCTTTAAAGACAAAATGACCTAAGATTAAAAGTGCTTTAGAAATATGCCTTTTATTATCCTACAGTGTTTGATTTAAATACATTTTATACGGTGCATTTCTTACAGAGTTAAATGCTGATACAATACAAATCTCATAGATGTTGGGTTAGATGAGGACAGTTGCTAAGCACAAGCAAAACAGTCCAGTGGAAAACCTGCCAGACCTTTGTGTTTCCAAAACTCTAAGTTAGACCATTTTCTATGTGACAAATTTGCCTTATTATAAGATTACACAACTTCACATAAAACACTATAAACTGTCTCAACTCCTTTCAGCATTTTAAATTACCTCTATTCATCATTCTAAATTAGAGATACCACCTACCTGCTTGTGGGAATGGAAGAGCAGAGTCAGTTACACAAGTGCAGCAGAAAGATAGCCGGGGGTTACTCAGCTCAGTGGCCTTGTGATGTTTCTGTCAGTAGACTATACATGCACATTGAGTTGAGTGCTTTGTACTTTACAACTCTGGATCCCTGAGTCTATCATGTGACTGCAGAGGGCTGAGCCAGGGGTCCAGCTTGGGAACTAAAGTCCTCAGCAGCAGCATGGGTGGGTGGAGGAAGGTAATGAGGACAGAAGGAGGAAAGAAAAGGATGGATGGAGGAAGGGGAGCTCAGAAAATGTTGGTGAGAAAAGTAGGAAAATGGAATAGACTGAATCTGATGAGACTACTGTATCAACATGAAGGTTCTCCCAGTTTTTGTAGGGTGGGTAGGCAGCTTAGCCAACCAGAAGATGACTTTGGACAGCTTTCTGTTCTTTCTGAGTGGGTGTCTGGTCAGGGTCAGTCTGGCTTTGTCCAGCACAAATTCCAGCCCAAATGAATGACTCCTGTTGAGCAATAACTTCATGGTATTTCATTCGACTGCCCTTGCACACACCTCCGCACTGACTGGTACTACATGTTCCCTTCCTGAATAATAACAATTCTTTTTTTTAGGCTGTTGACAGTAAAGCAAATTACTTCTGTTACAGTCAATAAAAATGATTTGGTCTTTCCTGAAAGTGGGATTAAAGCAACTGTTGCGTTACTAACAAATTTAAACTGTGGACTGTTGGTTGCTGCCAAATGTTAATTAAACCTCTGTTTTGTTTTGTTTTTCTGTCCCAAAAATATTTCTATTCAACTAATTTGTACCAAAAGATTATTATTGCTTTCATTCTGTTTTGTTGTTTGCAAATTCGAATTGGTAAGGTTTTAAGTTATACACCTTAATTAGAAAAGTTATCAGTTCAAATGACATCAAATTGTGCTAAACTGTAACAGCAAGCTGTTTACATTGAAAGAAGCCTGATCTTAAAAATGCATTGTCAGTAATAAATAAATCTCTTCCAAGTTGGAATAACTATTACGTTCATTATACTTATTTTTCACTGACATAGCTCTTGTTAAGAGTGTGAGTGCTGTATTTTTTTTATTTATTGTTTACGAATATACTTATACTAAATTCTCTGCCGGCCTCACCAAAGTTTACCTTTCTGCTCTCATCCACTATCACGTCTAACACATATGCCAGATTTCTGTGAATGCAGCATAACAGTTCACTCCGGCAAATTATCCTTCAATCTCCCATTTAGTTCATTCAATGTGTATGAATTCAGATGAGTCATGAGTTTCCTGTTTCAGTTTCATCTCCTGTCTGATGAATTTGCACGGTTGACCACCAGAAACACAAACTGCTGCATCACTTCAATGTTGTGTTTACAGTTCGTAATCTTTCAGCTCAGTACTTACAGCATTTATTAAGCACATTGGAGCTGTGACATCGCATTCCATTTCTGGGCTGAGTGTGGGACAGTTACTTGAATGGAGGACTAATGTTAACATACCTTTAAAGTGGAAGGTCACTGTAAATCATTATAATCACCTTTATGGTATGAATAAATATGGGCTCCTTTGAAAGAATCCCTCCAGTAGAGTTTAATAGACTTGGAGAATCTATACCAAAGAGTATTGAAGCTGTTCTGCCTTATTGATGTGATATCACTTCATCTTAAGTGTGTATATTTGTGAGCAAAACACTCACAGAACAGTGTTGTTTTGATAAAACCTCAGGACTGTACAGGGCACTCCTGTGACCTGGAGCCATGGTGAATGTTTGTGTAGAAGTACAATACTCGGCTTTCTTTTTCTAAACTGCTGCGCTCTGTGTTTAAACAAATATGTCTGTGTTTTTGGTACTGCTTGTACGGCTCTGAAAGATTCACTTGTTAGACATCAACAGGAGGGCAGCATGAGCTGGGAATCCACAGATGAAATTTCTGCCACTGAGAATTTATCATTAAATAAGATACCAAACACAAGACTAAGTACACCTGACCTTTAGACTTATTCTGTTGTTATGTGACTGGTGACGCATTTTTTCAACTTGATATTTGGATGCCCCATTTATCAGAAGTGTACTGTTTTGTCTAATATATGACATATTCACCTTTATATTAATTCAACAAAAAAACATGTAATAGCATTCTCCTTAAAACAGAATGTAATGCATTTGGATGGCAATCTTTCCCTTGTCAACATAGCAGAAATATGAATTTTGTTTTGTTAGTTAGTGGTTAAAGCCATTATTATCAATATCTCTATAATAACAATGGATAAAATGCCAATGTGTGTGAAAGGGGTCACATATAGTGATGGTCACTGCAGTTCCCCTCATCCCTAAAGAGATTTACAGCTTCTTTTGACTCTTTGCTTTGGTTTTACAGCCGCAGCTTTACTTTTCTGGTTTGGTCTCATTGCTCTCATAGCTTTATTTCCAGCAGCAGCAGGCAATTGTTTTTAATGAAACAGCCCTGATAACCCACAGTACACTTCCAGCACCAAATGGCAGACAGATGAAGTTAACTACATGTAGCTGGTGAACATAGTGGAGCACTTAGCAGCTAAAGAGCCAGATATTTCTGTCAGGAGTTGGAAACTCAAAACAGAGCTAAGTGTGAATGTGGCCAGAAACATGACTCCAGTGTTGCTCCAAATCTGCTATATGTAAATCTTTGTCATACCAACTTTAAAGCTGCTATAGTTTATATTTTTTTATATTAACAATGTATCAAATGAAAAATATGAAAGGGGTCGCTCAATATGATGGAACCGCCAGCTCTCCTCTGCTTTATAGCGAATTTCCACTCGTTGTTTATCTCTCCGGCCCACATTTTTAATGTTTTGGTTTACTTTCACTGTTCTTACAGTGTTGTTTCTGACTGCAAGAAGCAAAAAAGCTCTAGAAACCTACCATACACTACTGTCCAGCATCAAACAGCAGAAAGACAAAGTTAGCGACAAGCTGGAGAACATAGTGGAGAATCTCAGGAGTTAGTAGAGACCAAAAACAGAGCTAAAAGAGAGGTAATATTGGACTTGCTTGACTCCAAATTAATGGTAATGTTGCTTCATAACTGCTGTATCTCTGAATGCCATAGGCAACTCTTTGCTCTCAAGTTCACCATAAACTTAAAAAGTGATATGTGGATATTGAGTTCATAGCTTGTCTTCATTGCCCCTAAGTTATCAAAAATATAAAAAGAAAAACCTGTTATTTAATACATGCACACTAGCATATTAGTTGGCCTAACTGTACAAATTATCTTCACACTCTCTGTCCCTGTCTGAACCTGCTGTATCCCCCCCCCCCAAATGAGCTGGCCTCTGGTGGTCCGCCCCGCTCTGGTTCTGTCGCACATTCCGACCCCGCTCCTTGGCAGCATTCCCTGCTGGGTCCCCCCACTCCTACGTCAGCTCCCCTTGTCAGCTAATAGGACCAATAACTAGCTAGTGGCAGCAGTTAATAAAGTTTTTTTTTGCGATTATCCAACTAATAAAAAGTGGGTCAACTAAGATTCTTCTCAGTGACTAACAGTTAAGTGGACTATAAGGGGGCATCGTTAGTGTGAATTGTTTCCAGAAAAAGCAGCACATCAGTGCAGCACTGTATAATATTAATGACGTAATTATGATGGCAAATATTTTTATTTTTATTACAAAAGGATTTATTTTTATACAAGTGGACGTAAAATTATTAGTAACATTCATCTACAGTTTTTCTAAATTAGACATCAGAATGAGTGCTGGGTATATAAACCTTTACAGTACAGAAAGATTAGGGTGCATAGCAATTGAAGTGAAATCTGGCTATTGTATTTTTACAGTACAGTAAATTTCCAACCTTCTCCAACATAGACACATTGAGAGGAAAAGGTACTTTATCATGTAAAAACATTTTTTGACTTTAAAAAAATCATTTTTGACAACTGCATAGAACAAATGCAATTAGGTATATAAGCTACTGTCTTCAACTTCAGGTAGATCTAGTACAAACGTACACATACAAATACAGTAACTTTACACTGCTGATAACATATTGTGAAGTATTAACTGCCCTATAATGAAACACAAGCACAGTGCGACACAAAACAGCCTGTGCACTAGACTTATGGTGGAGCTGCAGTTGCTTCTCTCTCAGGGAAAATGTTTCAGTATTTTATGCTGAAACAATGCATATTGGTATCATCAAAATCATGAATACATTTTGGAGGGAATGCATGTAGTGTCTTACATGTTTCTTAAACACCTTTGAAAGTAGGAAAGAAGAAGGAAATTAAAAGTTTGATTTCTCTGAGAAAAAAAAATAAAAAACTACACTGTTTAACCAGATATCACCTCCAATGCAGTCTTGTGAAAAATTAATTCTCTTACTCATGACAACTGCCAAATTTCCCACCTATCTACAGTAGTTGGACAAAGAAAAAGTGCATTTTTTATGAAAGGAATGTGCTAAACAAAACTTTCCCAGGAAGTACAATGTTATAAAGAAAACAAAACATCTACATGTTCACAGTAATGTTCCATACAAATACATACACCAAAAGGCAAAACCAATCCTGAGAAAATAATCTCTACATATCAACAATGACCTGTCGTACTTCAGTGCATTGTTCTTTACACAGTCTCCAGTGTTCAAAACATCCTTTAATAAAGAACAATAAAAATACATAATTATTTGAAAGCATGGTGTCATAAAAGGTAAAAGACAAAAACAGTGTGGCCCTGCCAACAATGTTATCTTCATGGAATGAATGAAAAACACAATTATCACAAAGGTGAAGGCCAGCATACTGTACCTTCCACATACTCATGGTTTTGGTATATGTGTTTTTTTGGATGCTAGTTGGGGCAGTCAGACACTTTTACATACCATGTACAAATGCGTTCTTGCTGTATGTCACTTTTAAATCAGTTACATCAACATTACTGCCAATGACAGAGCATTAATCTCGGGTTCTGCTACCATCTGACTTTAAAAGAATAACAAGCTGAAAAAAAACCAATCTGTTTTAAGCAAGGCTCTGGCTATCATGCAATAAGCATCCATGCAGAACTTTTCAATTCCTACTCTCTACGCAATCAGATACTACTGTATGAAATGCAACAGGGGACAAAAAAATCTTTGTCGTGCGTCTGGACTGACCTCCTCATTGTCCACACAGAGAAGGCATGATCTTCACACAGAGTTAAAGACCCTTTAGCATCCCCTCTGGTGACCTTTGCTGCACTGTCTGTGTCGGATTTCCAGATATGACAGATGCATTGTTTTTTGGCCCCTCTATCACGTTACTTCTGCTTATCACTCTGTATCGGGGGGGCCCCAAGGCCGTGTTTGGGTTCAGCACTGCAGCATACACATGGTGCTCAAGGGCAGAGCTAATCAGGTGGGTAACCTCTCAGCTTCGTCTACAGGGTGCGCAAGAATGAAAACAGACAGGACAGAGGGTTAACTCACCGTCTCAAGTTAAAAGTCCTTTTTATGTTTGTGTATCCCGTGAAAAATCTAATTCTGCAGGATGCATGACAGAGAAAATTTGCTTTAAAATAAGGAAAGGCGACTGGCTGACCTGATGGCGAGGGAGAATTGTCCTCCCCTGTTGTGACAAACTGTAGATCAGACCCCAAAGCAGCGATTGAGCTCCTGGGACGAATGCAGCGGTCACCTGAGAAACTTCTGCGGAGTAATGCCTAAAGCAAAGCATGTTAGACTAGTTAGAGAAAGAAGTCTAAATGGTCAAATATTTATGATATGACACCAGGATTATTCACCTGGTATCACTCAATATTCATTTTATACATATTTTGATATTAAAATACTATACTACAAGTAGCTATATACATGATATATACATATATATACATTTCCATAAAAAAACAGGATGTTGCTGCAGCCAGTAACGGCATACAGTTTTTGTCTTGCCTTGCGTGTCATGGGGCTGGTGGGGGCGGACGCACTGCTGTAGAGGCTGAGGCTTGAGTTGGACCTGCTGACAGTCAAACCCTTAGAAGAGCTTCCTGCAGGGGACAAGTACTTCTCCTTGATCTTCAGGTTGGTCCTGCCTTTCACTGTTGGCGACACAGCAGGGGAATTTAACAGAATGCTGCAAAAACATGTAATTCGTGGTAGCCACCTTTCTAATAATAGCCAACAGACACTGTCTACATTAATAATTGAAGCAGGATTGCCTATATAAGTCAGTATACAATATCAAAACTTACCAGAAACAGATATTTAGGGGGAAACACTGCAATGTTTGACTAGTTTTTATAGTTGCATGCATGCTAAATCATTTAAGAACCCATAATGTACACAAACAACATCTGACATTAGCTATAACTATACTGTAGATGGCACAGAAGAAAAAATAGAACCCTGAATTCAAGTCAGTTTGTTGTATGTAGAACATTTACATTAGAAAAAAGGTTCGTCTGACATCAGTAATGTAAGCAGCATGTATCACTTTAGTCATACCAGGTGCTGACGACTTGTCATACTAGAGTAAATAATAGCTTGTCTTGGGTGCTCTGTTTTGTTTAGAAAATATAGTTTGCAGGAATTATGAGAAAGTAGGAATAGTGTACTGACCTCTGCAGGGGTCATTCTTGACTAGGAACTCATCAAGAGCAGTCCAGCCTCCTCCCACCCTGACCATCAACGTGCTCCGCAGGATACGAACCATCCGCAACTGTTGGGAATCTCCAAACTGCAGCAACCAGACAAAATATGGAATGCAAGTTATAGTTTTTGAAGAACTCGTCGCTGTGGCATCTTCACACTGCGTCTCCAAGAAGTCACTGATGTGTCTAAAGGCCATGTTCTTTCCAATCACCCAGGTATCACATGTTAATTCCAAACAAAAACGGAAATGTAAAGCATATCACTTCCTGTATGGCCACTGAGGACCAAAATGTCAAAATTTGCTTTAATATTTTTTTAATCATTGTCTATAAAAATGACTCACCCTGTATCTATTGGCACTAATTTGTTCCACTTGGAACCTCTTGGGGCAGTTACACTGCGATACCTGTCGGCTCACCTAAAGAAGGCAAAGTAATGAGATGGTGTTTCAGTAAGCATAACAGTAAGTGTCACAATAAATCAGCCACTGATGAGTCAAACTATATTTGTGTGTTTTCTTAGGGACATACCTCTTCGTTGATTTGATCTGCATCCAGAGTTTTCCTGTAGGGATCTCTGCTGGGGTGAAGTGCGCTCACAAACTCATAGTAGTCGATGAAACCGTCGCTGTTAATGTCAAAGATGTTTGCCACTGCATTCATCTCCAGAGAGTTGGTGGGAAATTCTACAGGACAGAAGTGAAAAGCCAACGTGATTCAAAAGTGTGTTAACTGTAGATATGACAGAGCATACTTTGTTTAAAAAGTAAACACTGGAAACAATGAAGATATTGTCATAAACACCAACAGTTTAGAAATGTGCCAGTGAAACAGAATCATTTAAATTCACTCATTTAAATAATGTTAGCAGGGCGTAATTTGTTTTTCAGCTTCCTTTAAATTTTATAAATTATGGTAACTCAAAAACAGTGACAGACAGTGTTGGGTCAGATTATTTTGAAATGTAGTCAGTTACTGAATACAAATTACATAGCCATTTTTGTAATTAGTAACGGATTACAAAAAGATTTAATCTAAATTTATCTGGATTACTTCTGGATTACAGAATGTTGTCTCTGGTTATTTATCCATTTTGCATCCATGCTGAAAACCATTGCTGTTGTTAGCATGATTTTTAGCTGTCCACTGCTAATTCCATGGTGCTTTGGGTCGAGTCTGTCAACCATTCAGAGGCTGTGTTCCTGATTTATCTACCCATCTCTACCAATAGAAGCTGTGTGGGCCTCTGTGTGGCAGCTTTGATCACAAATACACTGCACAATGGAAGAACATGAGATTTAAGATCTAAAGACGCCAGAGGGTTAATAGCATTGGTTATCATAGAAAAAAGTGTCATATTTTAAATATGTAATCAAAAATGTAACTAAGTAATCCTTGACAATGTAACTACAATCTAAATAAAAAAACATTTCTAATGTAATCTGATTACATAATACTTATTACATGTAATCAGTTACTACCCAAGTGTATCACAAGTGGGTCTTACTGGAGGCAAGGACATAATCCACAAACTCCTTCTGGCTGATGCGTCCATCCTGGTCCCGGTCAATGCTGCGGAACACGTCCAAGATCCGTGACTTCAAATGACTAATCCACAGTATGTAACGCTTTCGCCAAATATTGAAGTCGAAGTTTGCAAATTCTTCCATCTGTCAAAAAATTGAAAATATCACAACATCTCTGTTAAATTAAGTTTTGTAAAGCAAATTTTTTTATAAAACATGTTCAGAGGACTATATTGGCCAGCTTTGATGGCAGCATAATGGTTAAAATGTGTACATTTTTAAAAGTACAATAACCTCTTTGAGTGCTTGCTGGTGCTGTTCCAGATGTTTTTGTCTCGCTACAGCCAGAAGCCAAAGCTTCTGCCACTGACTGACCAGCTGACTGAGGTCTGGGGTTTGGGGGTCAAGGTGCTCCAGGGGAATGGGTACAGCAGGCTGCAGCTTCAGAGTGCTTCTCCTCTCTGATTGGAGACACAGCAACATGGAATCAGCTCAGGCAACTCATTTCTGCTCTACACATCTTCATCAATGAGACAGTCATCACGCTGTCAATGCTTGTGTTTTGTGTTCATAGAACATACACTGTGTTCATGGTGGCTTACTTGTGAGTGGCCGTTTGCTGGGGGAAACTTGCTGTTTAGAGATGCTCTTGTGTTTGCAGGACTTGGTGGCATGTTCAACTTCTGGAAACTTTTTATTCAACTCCTCCATGAATACCTGCAGAGAGGAATGAGCATAATGTTCTGTAAGTTCTCAATTGTATAGTTACACTGTAACCAGGGTAAAGTACTTTATAATGAAATTGTAGGAGGTCACAGAAACCACATCTGTTTGATATTAGAGTGTGTGTATATTCTCCCACAATGTGGTAAAAAAAGGAGATGGCACCCTGCGCTTTCTGTAAGACACCAGAAGCAGAAAGATACCAACACAGGCAACCAGAAACTGCTGTGGAGCGTTTCAAAGATGCATCCTGATCATTCCCCAGCATGTAATGGAGTACAGAGGTGGTCTCTGTTAGTAAGATATGGTTGGTAGCTCATAGAACAGAGAAATAACATACTGCGTGCTGCTCAATCAGTTCTTGGTTCTGCTCTGTGGTGTCAGCTGGAGGCTCTTGGTCTCTGAGGCTGAGGGCCTCCTCCGCTGAGGAGATCCAGTCCAGCAGCCTCTGGACTTCCTCTCTCTCTGCCTCTATTGCTGCCAAGCTGGCCTGGATCTTCTGGCCCTGCTGCTGAGCCCAGGTCTGAACCTGACTCAGAAAATGAGGAGGGGGAGGAAATGACACATTCAGATGCTTAAAATGTTGACACTGTTTTACAGTTCAAAAATGCTGAAGATACTAAAACAGTGTCCTGCACTCGTTATTTTCAAGTACCTAATGGACAGCAACCAAAGTAAAGAGTTATTTTTCATGTATTTAATCCCTAGGGAAAATAACTTTTGCTCATCATGCAGGCACGCACCTCCTCATAGCGGGTCTTGGTTACACTGATCCAAGATTTTAGGGTGATTATGGAGTCTGGGTGACAGGAGGCCAGGATCTCCTCACCCAGACAATGGATGTTCTGTAACTCCACCGCCTGAGCCTGCAAGGCACTCATGGATTCCTTTAGAGGTGAAGAAAAAGGAATTACTCAGCAATTTAACCAGTAAAACACATATTCTTATGCAGGATGAGCCATTTTTGTGGCATCAATAGAAATTCCATTAATTTCACAAATATGCAGTTTATTGTTGATTTATTTATTTTTCTTTTTAGAAGTGTTACAAGTTTGTGGTTAAACAAGAATGTAATAACTAATCTGTCCTTCCACAGGTTGAATGGGTTCAAGCCTGAACGCAAATATCCCCCCCAGCTTAACTACCCTTGATAATACTAATTCATTATCAGCAGCAACTTGTTGTTCTGTAAGCTGACCCTGACCTAAAGGCAGACAAGAAGGTAAAAACTGTTTTACCTTACAGGGAGTGATAAAATATCATGAAATACTGACCTTGTGTTGTTTACGGAAAGCAAGCAAACCTTCCTCCTCCTCTGGTATCACCCCATACTTCAGTATCCTCTCAGCCTCAGTGAGGCGTTCCATGAAAGAATGGACAAGGCCATCAAACTTTTCAGCCTAACAAGAACAAAGACAAAGATTGAGATAAGGGTAGGGATTGGTCCTACTTATTAACTTTTATTAATGGCCAGATATCAGCTAAAAGCTATTAATTTGCTTATTTGCTTCCTTCAAACTGAATTTTATATATGGGTGACTTTTCATATAAGGACAAAATTTCCACAATTTATTGCATATCGACAGCTTCAGTCCAACAATATCTAAAGGAAAAGGATCACAATTTAAAAGCCCGCTGACCTTCTACCTTTCTAATTTGTGAGAACTACCTGCTGAAGTGCAGCCTCCAGTCTGTCCTGCTTGCTGACTGACAGTTTGCACACAGCCTCCCAGCGGCCCTCCAGCTCGTCCATCTGCTCCTGCAGCCAGTGAGCATCAGCTGTGCTGCTCCTGGTCAGATCCCTCACAGAGCGCTTTAGGGTCCTGATGCATCCGGCTCGCTTTCCCAGCTCCTTTTGGAAGGCCTAAAAGAAATAAACATTTGTAGAGTAACTGCAATTTTGCTTCGAGACAGAATTGTGATGAAACTGGCACAAAATATTATATATATGTATGTGTAAAAATGACTAGTTTACAAACGACCATGAATACTGTGTTTCTATTGTTGTATCTGTTTAACACTGTGAATTACTGAAGCCACACATTAAAATACATGATAGGTGTTGTACCTTGTGTTTGTCTATCAGGTTGTGCACCATGTCTTTGTCTCCACCAACAGGAACATCCTCAGCTAGCTGGGGCTCCGCTCTGTACAGCCAGTCATTCAGGGCCTGCAGAGCATCAGTGAATCTACCCGAGAACAGTAGCGCTTCCTCCAGCTTGTGTTGTCTGAGAGAAGCAAAGCAGGAAATTGGGTAAATTTGGGTAAAAGATTTTTATGTTTGATAGAAATCAGAATGTGTCCCTGTCTAACTGTATCATACCTCTCCATGGACTTGCCACTGATGGTGTCCCACGTGTCTTTGAGTTCAGCCAGTAGATTTTCCAGATGCTGTCTATCATGGCTGGTTTGAGCTCTTTCGTGAAGGCTGCGTCCGTTCTTCGATGTAGCTTCGTACATAGGCCTCTTTGACCTCAGCAGTTTTTGGAACTCCTAATCACAAAGTAAGTGATCAGTGAAGACGTTCATATACATATGGGCAGCAAATAAACCAAGTTTTATTTATTGTGATGCCTACTGCACCTTCTGCTCGGTCAGTTGTTGTTTAATCTCCTCGTGGGACACAGCGATCTCTTTATGTGTGTCTAGTGTCTGCTCTACCTCCGTCATCCAGTCCACTAGCAGGCGCCACGATTCATTAAACTGAAATTTGAGAAATTAATACAGATATTACACAAAGGTTCCTCAGGGTGGAAGTCACACCTAAGATACATGTACAGTTGGATTTATATTAGAGCTGATAGTGATATACCTGTTTGGCATTCTTTTTGACCTCCTCCAGCGTCCGGCCTCTTTCTGAAGTGCGCTGCTGTAGCTTTTTGTAGCGATCTTGGACGGTCATGATTAGGTTATGAATGACATCACAGTCTTCCTTCCTGCTCAGCTCTATTAGTCTACGGGCTGTGTTTTCCGCTGTGCTCTTCTTCTCACCGTGACTGTTCACTTCATTTACCAGCGCCTGTACAAATAAAAGCATTCATGAACCAAAAGTAAATACTTCCAAATGTAACTCTGGATGTGAAGCAGATAGATAGATAGACTACAGCAGGTAGACCTACTCTGTGCTCCTGCAGTTGAGTACAAACTGTGTCCAGAGCAAAGCTGGGAGGAGGAAGAAGCCCAATAGACTCTTCACATTTGCTCATCTTAGTGAGAAGCTCCTGCACGTTACTGTGGAACTCCTTGGCCAGACTCAGCCCTTCTGTAAGCTTCGCCTATGGGAACAGCACGACACTCAGATATAATCACACATTAACACGAATGGTAAATCAACAGGTTGATACATGACGATGAAGAGTTAAATAACCTTTCGCTCCTGGATTTTGCTGTAAACAGATGCCCATTTCTGTTCGAGAATAGACAAGCTGTGTTCGGTGCTCGATCCCCGGACAACATTGCTGCTCTCCAGCATCCTGTGGATGGCATTCTTCACATCTGTGTAGGCGTGAAGCTTTGACTCCATCTCATTGCACAAATCCTTTTGTGGGTGAGAAGAAAAAAAAGAGTTTTTAAACAAGACAATTTTTTCTCTGTGTTGTAATTTCTTATGCAAGTCTTTATTTTGAAAGCCAGAAGTCTGGTCCGTTTTACCAAGTGTGCATTGAGTCTTTCACTGGCAGAGTCCGGCATTCCCCACATGGTTTTAGAGGAGGACAGTCTCAGGTCTGTGTTCTCCAGCCACTGCAGGAGATCCTGAATCTCCATTGTAACATCTTGTACCTACAGTAAACACAGACATAATGAATGCGAAGGCCTCCTATGATGGTGTGGGTGCATTTTGTACAAATTATATTCATTAATACCATAAATTATTATTTCATTTTAAAATTTGCTTTCTTTTATGACAATGAAAGCCACACGTTTAAATTTGGACTCGCCTCTACGTGCTTGTATGATCACCTTTACAATCACCACAAGAGGGCGCCATGATACACTATAATTATAATGAAGCATAAAATGCAGTACGGCTGAGAAAATGCTGCATCCTGATAAACTGCATAACAATGTATTATATATACAATTTTTATTGTTTTTCTATACCACTGTAACAAAATAATGGATCTGCTTTTCTCTCTTCACCTGACTCAGTCTGTTCTCTAGTTCCAGCTGCCTGCGTTCAGTCTCACAGCGGACAAACTCCCAGCTTTCATTGAGTTGCTCCAGCCGAGACTGCGGACCATGCGGGCTGTCCCCGGACCCAACCTCCAGCAGCCCCCTGCCTGCCTGGTTCAGGGACTCCATCGTGCGAACATGCGACATGACATCATTACGTAAGACCTTGCAGAAGGAAGAAGCATTGGAGGTCAGATATTTATCATGGTATCAGTAGCTGTGGAATTCAGATGTGTTGCTTGGAGGTGTTGGGAGCTCATTGTTTCCTTGTATAAGTTGTGACTGGCAGTTGTTGTGACACGATTCTAGCAGTGTGTATTGTTGGTGAAGTATAAACTGAAACAATGAAAAAGTTGGTAGGCACAATGGTGAACACTTTCAGGAGACAGAAGTCTGTAATTCCTTCAAGGTTAAGTGTTATCTTGCAGGTAAACCAACAGCTCTCTCAAAGTTACAGAGAAAAGAGCTCCATCACACAACCTCCTACCTGACAGTGTAGCCCTAGAATGAAGAGCTTATTTTGAAATGCTGATCACTGTATATTGTTGTGTTTGGGGCACTACCAACCTTGTGTTTGGCCAGCTCTATTTCACAGGCCTGCAGGTCGATGCTGATTGGCTGGCTGCCCTGCAGTTGTTCAGCGGTCCGGGAAAGCCATGTGTGCAGCTCATCCAGTGTGTTTTGGAACTGACCCAGACCCAACAGAGCACACTCCAGTTGATGCTGGTGGCAGCACAGGAAAAAAGTTAAATATACATTTTTCTTTTTCACAGTATTTTTCATTTTCCAGCTAAATGTAATTTCTACTGGTCTAGCCATCTGTTGTTAAAGTAACATAACATTTTAATTACACATATTGGATTAATGTGTCATGCTAATATAATTAATAATGCTATCTGCTTGCATATTCTCACCTGTCTGCCGACAGTCTCTGACTCCAGGCTGTCCCAGCGCTGTCTGAAGTCACACAGTGGTGAGACGGAGCCTGGGCGCTCCGAGCCTGGAGACAGCCGACACACAAAGCGATGGTTCAGGCTTTCTATCTCTATTTTCTTCTGGTAAAGTTCTCGCTTAAATTCCTGGTGGAAATAATAAAAACAGAAAATATAATAGTTATAATAAAATACAATATGAGACCAACATACTTTGATCGTTGGTAGTTATGGGTGTACTGCTGTGTATTAACTCACCTTGAGATCGCATAGCTGATCTTTGACTGATTCCAGGTCAGTCCCTACTATGAACTCTTCAGTAGACCTCAGTTCAGCAGACTTCAACCACTCAAACAGACCCTGTGAGCAAAACCATTACATTGAAGAACAATAAATGTCATGCTGTACAATCACTCAACCCTGAATGTTGCCATGTTGTGTGACTTTAACATCCAATACATTTTGTTCTCAACAGCCAAATATGTAACCCTGTTGGCATATACAGCTGGATACATTTTCAGATTTTTCTTTTGATACTGTGTCACACAGTTTGCACCATTAAACTCATTTGCCTTTGGCAGAGGACCACACAATCTGTCAGTCACTCATAAGTAAAGCTACAGGGAGTCTGAATTTAACAGAATAAAAGACTAGCTTTGTCACTGGCAGGATGCCATAACACTGCTTGAGTCAGGCAGTAGTGGCCAAAGTGTAATGTTTGATATGGCTATGATACTGACCATGCAATGTTTGTTAGTATGGGTATACATATACACATAATACAAGTGTATACTATATATTGACACACACCTGCATAGTGTCTTGATAATGTAGCGCCATCTGCAAGGACTCCTCCAGCTTTTTGTGACATTCGTTCCACAGTTTGCTCAAGTTGTTCCATGTGCAATAGAGCTTTAAGAAAGTGAAAAGACAAGGTTCCAAGTTAGCCGACACAAAATCATGAGTTAAAAAGGATTTTATTTAAATATATTTCTTACTTCATCTAGGCTCTTTGTGACATCTGGTTTGTCTGTATCCCCACATGCTGACATCAGATCCATTCCCAAAACGCCAAGGGTGTCCAGATCTCCCTGTAAACTGTCAATATCCTCCCTGAGAGTCTATGATTCAAGTTGAAAGGATGGAAAAAGGTTATCTAGTGTATTATATATAACAATATGGGTTTCTTATACGTGAAGAGCTTCCAGGCTAACCTGCATGGTTTCAAGGCTCTGGCGGATTGTTTCGGAGTCTGTCCGACTAGAATTGAGATCCAAAACTGCCTGCTGAGCATCATTGAGAGCAGCCGTGACATCACTGACATCACCCCAGAACTTCAAGGCTAGATCCAAGAGTTTGAGCAGCCAGCTTTCCCTCTCCTGGGCCTGAGTATGCGTCTCATCCCACATCTGGGACAGGCTGGACACTCGCTCCTGGATTGCTAAAATCACAAGGATATAATAGGGATATCGTTTCGAATTTCCGGCAGTAAATAGCATTGCTACTTGTACTTAAGCCCCATGTGCACTAGGACAATATCATGTCTTTATACAAACAAGATCACATTACCTGTACCGACAGATCCATCACCAGCTGCCTGTGTGTTAGCCAGCAGCTCATCTGCTTGTGTTTTGACACTACCAAGGCCCAGCTCCAGCTTGGACAGCTCAGCCAGGGTGAGCTTGTTGTCCTGCAGCTGCTCCTGGATCCTTGGGGTGAGGCCTTGAAGAGAGCTGGGAGTCTGTATTCGACTGCACAGGCGGTCAAGACTCTCTCTGATAAGGGTCATCCTCTCATTCAGCTGTAGGTACAAGAAAAGATATGAAGTTGTGTGCTTGTGTATTTGTGATATATTGCTAAGTGTAGGGCTGCTTACAACATTTCCAGCATTGTCCAATCATTTTTACCTGCGTGAATCGAGGCAAGGACTCCTCGAGCAGACTGGCAGTCTCTCTGACCCGGTCTCTGATGGCCCTATGCTGCTCCTCAGCCTCTGTAGCTTTTCGACAGAACTCATCACCCTGAATGGGGTTTAGTTCTGACAAGCGTTTTGCCAGAGAGCATAAGCGTGCAATCAAGGGTCTGTGTTCTGCTATAGACTCCCTCAGACCCTAAGTAGAAGAGAGATAAAAAGAAAGGTTTAATAACAATGTGGAGAGAAGACTTTTTTCAGAAATAACCTGATTTTAGTTTAATCTCTTTAATGGATAGGGGTTGAAAGAAATCACATGGTCTCACTTTTCATGGCATACCTGACAAAACTAAATTGTCATTATAGGACACTGGGTGAAAGGTGACCCTGTCAGGAAGTAGATTACATTAAAGAACTGTACTGGAACAGAACAGTTCATTTTACTGAAGAAAATGGTGGCAGACTGTGAAGTATAAAAGGACTTCTTTGTTTAGCTGGACAAAAAAGGGACGATAAAAAAGGGAAAAGCTGGCACTCTAATGTGGAGAGGCAGGTTTCTTCTACCTGTAAGAGGTCCTGTTGTTCCCGAAATGCCTCATAGCTAATTGTGCTCAGGGAGAGCTGGCCAATTAGGGTTTGAGTTTCTTCAAGCCAGGGCGAAACCTCAGCAAGGCCCTCAGAGAACTGGAGAAGAAGCGACTGAGCATGCTCAAGCTGCAGGACCACATGGGAATTTGTGGCTGAGGTGGTGTTGCATTGTTCCTGTAAGGCATCTAATGGGGTCTGCATGGAGAGGTGACAGTAAAATACAGACATTTTAATTTTAAATTTACTTTTAAACTCAAAAGTGCATATATTTGCATTGTCAGCAAGACGGTTGCATTAAATGAAATTTGGAGAATACCCGCAAATCGCCTGTTTCTCCTTCATCGCTGTATGTCAGCAGGATTTCAGCAATCTTCACCATCTTCTCAATGTTGAACCTGTGCTGGAGAATCTCCACTGCCAGAATCTGTTCAGGAGACAATACAGCAAATCAAATTCACTTACCAAGCATCATTTAAATGAATTTTGTAAAACTACAAATAACACAAATATATGTTATTTATTTAACGTGGGAAAATGTTTTAGTTCAGTAATATATGTGAATAATGTCCTGACCTTCTGCTCATAGAGTTGTTCCGATATGAGTTCTGGATCCAGATGAATGGTTTTCAGCTTTTCAAGGCTCAGCGCTGTGTCTCTGAACCAAGCCATCTCCTTCACCACTGCCTGTTCCAGCTGATGAGAACACATTGTATGTCAGCACAGCATTATTAACGGCATGAGTAAAACCTAACACCACCTGGCAGTATCATTCTGGGTTATAAATGATTAGAATTAAAATAATGTTGTTGTTCTTCAACATTAATGAATGACCGGGCTTTGTAAAGAGTGTGTGAGAACAGCAGTGAAACATATGTTAAACCAAATTTCGGCTTCCACAATGCTATTCAGAAATGTGGTCAGCAATTAAACATAGTTTGCAACGCTATGCTATGCTAAGCTGCATATCTAAGCACAAAATTACCCAGATTTATTTACGATTATTATTAACTTTTGCTCTCACCCCAAAATGATTTACACCCTCTAATAACCATTTTGCTCCACTAATGTAAGAGTGTTGTACTAAAGCACAGTGTTGATTTTGAAATTAAAGGTAGGTTTAGTTGCATATTGATGAGATGACAGCAACTTAACTATTAACTTAGCTATTTTTTCTTTTCTTATATATAAGTTATAGATATGTGATGATATGTAAATGACCGTGTCACATAATCTAGCTACATGTATCAAATTTTCGAACAGGCTTTGGCTACTTTCCACTAAAACTAGTTGGCAACACTGTTAAAGTATCTGACTGGTTCATTGTAGGACTGCGTGGGAACATTACCCTCTGTCTCTCAGCTGCACATAGTACTGCATCTCCAGCATGTGTCTGCGCTCCTGCTGCCCCAAGGAGCTCCCTCTCGATGCGGCCCAGCCACAGGTGGAGGTCCTCCTGGCTAGAGGTACAGCGACTGGAGGCCTCCAGGGCCTGCTCCAGCCTCTGCAACACATCCAGACTGCTTAGACTCAGCACAGAGCAACGGATACGCAGAGCATCCATCTTCTCCTGTACCTGCTGGGCTTCCTCCTCTGAAACAAATGGCACATCACAAACATTGGGTATAGAGTCCAACTGAAAATATTCACTAAACTTTTATTTACTGACATTTTTATAGTAGAATAACAGAACTGATTCAATAATATACCAGATATGTGGTGGAAACTATTTGGACTGGTTATAACATTTTGATCAGACTCCATATAAAATTATCTGCAGGAGTATTAATATTATTACATATTTTATCATGTTACAGTGACATGATCTGTTGCTGCTCTATTGGTATAGATAATTTAAAACTAACATTTATTTTTTTTAGCTTAGTTTGTACCATATGAAGGGAGTTTTACCTGAAATTGCTTCCATCAGATTATGTCCTGCCTTTTGTATTTTCCCTAGATCAGCAGTTTTGACTTGAATCTCTTCAACAACAGCCTAAAAGAAAATGAAAACATATCAAAAACACAATTCCCTACTCAAACAGCACAATGCACATTCACAGCACCGTACATGCAGCTGAAGCATTCTTGGTAGATCTCTAACCTTGGCCCTCTCTGTGGCCTCTGAGAGATGCAGCATCACTCTCTCTGCATTTCGTAGTTCAGCTAGGGTTTGTTCCACAGATATGAGCCATTGCTGCAAGCTGTCCACTCCTTCCTGGAAGAGCTGGGCCCTGGGAAGAATGAGCTCCAGACTCGCTCTCCTGTCAACAACAAAATGTACATAGATTGTTAACATCGGTGAGTAAGATTTGTATCATGCGGTAGACTTTGCCAAATAATAGTGTGGCATTGCCAGTAAAAGTATCTGACCTTTGTTCTGCTTCTAGCTGTAAGGCCTCCCACTTCTGTTTGAGAGTGGAGAGCTTGACCTTTGCCTGTTCCCCTTCCTCTCCTGGGTGGGCCTCCACCAGCCGAGGGCCTTCCAGCATCATAGAGTCTATACTACGCCTTCGGTCTGTTAGGAGGCGCTGCAAGAGCTATAAAAAAAAACAGAAAGACGGAAGAGTAAGATAATAATCAAGAAAAAGGACAGATGATAATTATTTTGAAGTTGCAGATTGAATTTATTGAATACTGCTTGCCTTCCAAGCATGTAGCACGCGCTTCCTGTGTAACAACAGCTCATTCTAAGGTAACAAAAATTCAGATTTTTCTGCAATTATACACTAATGACAACATTGAGTATTATTGAGTAGTATTATATTTCATTTCTGCCAACAGGTCTGCCTAAATGTTATCTTCAGTACTGCAGAAAGTGTTTACCTTGTGTTTGAGGATTAATTTCGGTAAGTAAGAATTGACATTTGTCAAAGCCCCATTCTTGTTTTTTCTGCCTTTGTGTCAGAATTCCTGTCTCATGTATCAAGCTTACATTGTTAAGAGCTAGGCAGGTTTCACCTCATCCACAGAGCTCACAATGGGTGTGATTACAGCTGAAAGGTGAGAGACTTCCCTGCTTTTTTCATACCCCCAGGACATGTTCACAAAGACTTACTGAAGCTCATTGTGGCTATGAACGCCACCCATTCACCATTGAATAGAAGTGAATTTATATTATGAAGGAAGCAGTTTTCCGTGACCTCAGCACACCTTTATATAGGTAAACCTTTCACATGTATTCCCCCTACTATAGTGGCCTGCATAGATGTTTTTTGGAACAAGAAATGAGGTGATGTGATGCTAGTGATAACAGACCTTTTGTTCTTGGAGCTGTGCTTTCACCACTTTGACCTCTGAGGATGGGGGTTTCTGATTGGTTGTGAGCTCCTCTATCTCACAGACCCATGTGAGCAAAGCATCCAGGTTTTGGAGAAATGTCTCAGGATCTGTCGACGCATCCCTCAGTGCCAAGGCAGATCTTGTTCCCTTGAGAAAGACCATAACAAAGTGTTAGCTGAATGAATTTTGTAGGTGAATGAATCCAGGTGAAAGACGATCCGTTTTACTGTGGCAACACAAGCAGAAAAGAGTTAAGGGTAAAAACATACCCTCCATCTATCCAGGCTGGAATCCTGGTCTGAGCTTGAGTGTCCATCACTTTGGAGCTGTGAAATGAAGACAGTCCACATGTTGTCTCAATTCACAAAATCACTGTTTTAAAAAGACCCAACACAGTGTCATGAGATAAAAGATTGCCTTTAAAGAAAGAGTCTAGGTGAGAATAGGTGAGAAGAGGAAAGAATGAAATGGAGGACAGATGAGATTTGTCATGTTTTTATCAACCTCAGCAAGTTCCTCGGCGACACCATTCAGGACTCTAACAGTTCTGGTGACTATTGGGTCTCCTCCCTTATCTCCAGATGGATACTCTGTCACTTCCACAATTTCGGTTACGGTCGTCTCTGTCACCTCTGTCACCTCTGTAACCTC